AAAGGAGGCCCCGAATAAGATAGCTAAAAACGACAATTTGTCAGAAATTACTTTACGCAAGATTTCAATACCGCCTTCTGTATTCTTGTTCAATTGTAAGAAAAGTATTGTCAAACTGCTTGGCTCTCAATGACAGTTCCAGACAATTGTGTCTGGAAAATATCTCAAAATGACAAACCTAATGATATTCACATCATCATTCAAGCAGTTTAAAATGATGTTTCTTACCATTCGAACTAAAGATACATTTTCATTAATGCATTTCCGAATATGTAATTCAAACCCATGTTTTATCGACGCTACATTTCAGATTGCGAAATAGACACCGTGACATAAAATCTCTCATCACGGGGATGATCAGGCAAGTAAAGCCGTTGGTCCCCGGTCCCATGAGTTGATGGGTCGATAGGTAAGGTCCAGATGTGGGAGCTCTCTCCCTAGCGTCGGTTGCATTAGTACTTAGTACAGAAAACAAATCAAGGAAAAAAAACATTTTAGATGAGCTTCAATAGTACATAATTATATACAAATACCTATATTGATAATAATCCCATATTCTTATATTATACGTACATTCCGATTTGACAGACATTGCATTATACATGGGATTGAACCAAACATGCTGTCGAAAAGTGCAAGCTCTCTTATTCTCTCACAGAATATTATTCCGTTGCGCTCTCGCAAAACACGACACCATTCAGAGCAGTGATCAAGAAGATTGATGTGACGTCCACACACGTCGCAAAACGCAACGGCGGTGCAAGAGACGAAGAAGAAGAAGAGAAGAAAACTAAATTAACATTGGATTGAGGTGATCGGGATTTTTATTGTTGCTTTTGGGTTTGAATCATCGTGGAAATCTCATAATTATGTCTTGGAAAATTCCTTCCAGGGTCGTTCTTCTTAAGCAGATTCCAACCTCACAATTTGGGTCAGCTTTGTCAAGATCGAGCGAGCAACACGATGAATGGAATTTTAATCATAGTAGACACGCAGTCAACGCTGCGATACACACAGAAAAGAGATGAGATTATGCGAGAGAGACGGTGTGGATGGAAGCAAGGTTTCGAAAAAGAAGGAAAAAAAAAAGGTAACTAGTTTCACCTTCCCTTTCGTTAGGGGAAAACCACCACGACTCGTGCGAGTTCTTATGCAATTTCCATTCTACTGCTTGTAATGTAACAGATAAATATTAAACCAGGGATGGCATTTTCCGGTGACCTACCTTTTGTTTCGACTGGTCTAGCTTGATTTTGCACGATTTAGTCGAAACAGCATGAAATTAATGACTGCTACGATTTGCTACGTTGACAATTGCTGTTGGGAAGGCCAGATTCCGCACTGCTTGGTGAGGGTAGACTTGAAATCTGAATCTGCGATTTTCGACCCTTCCACTCAGTCTTTATGGGTTTTGTTAGTACGAATTCCTGATGAGTTTCTCCTGTACACGTATCGAAAATATTTTTTTCCTTGTTTCTGCGTAGTTCGTTTATCCAGTCTTGCTGCTGACCCGAAATGACGGCCTTCTTTTTTTGACAATGACAAGAATCCTTTCGCAATTTTTTTTTCTCGTCCACTCACTGCTGCCACTCACTGAATTTGCTTCCGCGATTATCAAACCGGATCACCCGCGTCAAAATTGGTCCTTAGATGGTTTCTTGATCTGCGAGCAAAACGGTACACCCTTTTTTGGTGTGATTAATGGTTAATCGTGCTATTTCCTTGCTTCTTTTCACTATGAAGGAGTGTAATATTCAACTTTCATTTCACGTGCTACGTACGAAGAACTGCTACGATGAGGTGCGCGAAGGCACTAACACCAATGTCCCTCTGTCAGCCAGGCAGCCAGCAAAAGGAACACGGAGAAAGGTTTTGCAAATTTGTGACAGCTTGCACAGCGGCGATGATGGTAAAGAAGGTTTGACATTTCATCGGATAACATCTCACATCTCTGAGCTATTTTTCGAAAGGGCACAAGATAATGTCAACACTGAGTTCCACGAAGGAAATAAGGCATTCCACGAAACAGCTGCGGTCTGCTGATTTTTTTTTGTTTACCGAGAAGTTTTGACAGTTCACAGTTGAACTGACAGATCTTTCCCATTGAAAATAGCTTTGTTTATATTTACATCTTGTATCGGCAGCACCTAATCACTCACACACTCACAGCTTTTTAGCTGTCAGGTCAACTTTGAAACGTCTCATGGATTACCTTATAGATGTAAAATATTGAAATTATTTGAATATTTATCACATGATGTTCTTTTTTTTGTAAGCAATCAAGAAGGGTAAGCGTTCCAGTTTTGGCACTAGTGTTCCAGTTTTTGGTCCTAGTGACTAGCTCAAATTTGAAATAAATTTTATTAGTTTGATTTCCGTAGATATATTGCAAACATATACACAAAGTCGTCTCCTTGCCTTGTTGCAGTTGACAAACAAATAATGTGTGGATGTTTTCCTGAGGGCAAATCTATGGACCAACCTTCCACTGGCTAAAAGTATATAGAATTATTAAGTACATATATATATGAATCACATGCGGTTTCTTTGATTTGTACCTTAATCCATTGAGAGGGGAAGCAACGCATTCTACAGATGAGCGGTTGGGATCTCCATTTTGGTTCTTAAGAGGCAACTAACCGTCACTCGATTTGCTTCTGCTTCTTCCTAAATCATCACTTCAAAACAGCTCTCTTTTTTCCTTTTTGATTTAATTTCCGTCGATCTTGTTTTCCGTAGCTCCCACACCTGGGCCCTACCTCTCGACCCATCAACTCATGAACCGGGGACCAACGGCTTTACCAACAATCAATACGAAACTAACGATTTTAAATTGGCTCACTACTTGACTAGCCTATTAGCATAGAGGTAACTCTAAGACCACTGGGTCCCGAAGAAAATCATTATTATTTTTGGCTCACTCAGTACCAGAACAACGGTCCCAAGCAGTCCCAAGCTATTTCACTCACCCCTGCATGTTCTGCATGAATCCACACACCCCTGATGTTATCTGTCAAACTTTCATAGCGAATCAAAACAAACATAGTGTAGTAATAGAATTTCAACTAGAATAGGGTACGTTAATCGTTTGCTTGGGACCAATAGGCTACTAAAGTGGTGAGCCAATTTAAAATCGTTAGTTTCGTATTGATTGTTGCTATTAGTCCCAAGCAAACGATTAACGTAACCCATTCTAGGCAAAATTCTAGTACTACGCAATGTTTGTTTTGATTCGTTATGAAAGTTTGACAGATAAAATGAGGGGTTATTGGTTTTTCCTATGTTTCGAGGGGTGAATCGATTAGCTTGGGACCGAAGAGAGTACCAGAGCTGAGCCAAAAAGTTGAGCACGTTATTTCGAGACCTTCTAGTCTTAGAGTTACCTCTATGGTAAAACCATAGAGGTAACTCTAAGACCACTGGGTCCCGAAGAAAATCATTATTATTTTTGGCTCACTCAGTACCAGAACAACGGTCCCAAGCAGTCCCAAGCTATTTCACTCACCCCTGCATGTTCTGCATGAATCCACACACCCTTGATGTTATCTGTCAAACTTTCATAGCGAATCAAAACAAACATAGTGTAGTAATAGAATTTCAACTAGAATAGGGTACGTTAATCGTTTGCTTGGGACCAATAGGCTACTAAAGTGGTGAGCCAATTTAAAATCGTTAGTTTCGTATTGATTGTTGGTAAAACTGTATGGGAAAAATAACAATAATTTCCATTCAAAGTGTTTTTATGTTACTTCATACGTGAAGTTAGCGATTTTCAGAGTTGGTTGGAAATGCTAACATGAAGCTTTAGTGTGATGATTTATTAGCTAGAGAATGATCTTTAGAAGAGAGTAGGTGCATAGTTCCGTTAGAGTACGGCAGTATGAAAATTGAATAGAAGTTGAAAATGAGCGAAGGGCCATTAATGCGACAGTTTTTAAAGTTAGACGCACATCTTTTGCCTAACCCGTACGATGTACGCGGAGACTTGAAGTATGTCTCCTAGTCTACAGGCAAAAAATGTGCGTCCTTCTTTTGCTCATAAACTGACTGCGGCTGTGGAATAGTTCTAGCGACGTTTTCATAATTTCCAAATAATTTCCAGGAAATAAGTGAACGACAAAGTCCATGAATGATTTCTTTAGGCTGTCGTTCACTTTTTTTTACCTGAATATGCATCGAAAGCGTATTTTTCATCATATAGGTATTTCAATTTTAAATTGCAGAAAAGCTTAATAATGGAAATGGCTCTAATGTTGGCCATGGATCTAACAATCGGGCCAATCGATAAAATTTCCTGATCTTATTTTTTTCTACAACAATATTTATGGTTGCTAATGAAAAATGATCAAAACATGCAACATGCAGCTTTCCTTCCAAATTTATGTATGGGTACAATATTAGATGCAGATTTGGAATATTGGCCCTATATTATAATAATAATTAATATTACTATTATTATTATTATTATGCCGCGTAGAATATGATCATAAAAAAAAGATCAGTACTAATGCAAAAATGGTACAGGCATAGAAAGCTCTCAATTCATAATTGTGGATATGCTCAAAGAACACTAAGTTGAGACCTAACGTGAAGTCCCAGCGATAACGTTATAAATCCAAAGAAGACGGACATAAATGAAACACTTGAATAGGTATTAATTTTCTTTGCGTATAGGAATTCGATCTGGGAAATTACGGGGTGATAGACCCTATGTCTCGATTCGCTGCACTCCCAATAATGAAAGGTTACTGCGAAAAGTAAATATTTAGCATAATAATGCAATTGGAATAAAAACAATACATGCTTTGAGCCCCAATTCAGCGCAGCTAGGCTTTTTGGATTTTTGGACAGCTCGGACTTTTAATGTAAAAATGATAGTATTAATATTATGGGAAATCTAATCTTTTTAAATTTGTAAATAAACCATAAGCACAATTCAATTTATCTAGGAATAATATTTTCATTGTTTCTTTAAATTGTGAAGAATTAGGCCTTAGCTGCGTTGAATTGCGGCATTCTATGATATACGATTTATCTTAACAATATATTTAATATATTATTGCATGATTTTATTTCAAACTACACATTTGTCTCATGAACTGCAATGCAGAGTATAACGTCTATCCTATTTCAAAAGTTGTGAAATAAACTTTATTTTATTTATTTTTTCAAATTGGAAACATTCCTTTGCGCCTAAGATCTAATCCTATACCTACTTTCCTAATTCTACATTAAAAATACAACACTTTTACTACCATTGCCTGTCTGGTCTTTAGAAATCGCTTACTCGACCCTTACGTTCCCAATCTCCGTAGCGTGTCGGTTCTGGACCCCGCGGGCCACCGATCTCACCGGTTTTTGGATTGGTGTTATTTGGCCACGGTTCGAGGGGTTCTTTCTCCTGATACGGATGCTTGCCAACGATCTCATCCAACTTACCGATCGGAGTCTTCTCACGTAGTTTCTTCTGGAACTCCTCCATCCGTGGACTCACTGGCTTGTCCGATGGGGACTTAGAGGAGAATGAAAGCGATGGCACTGAGGTTAAAGAGTAGATTATAAATTTTTATCAGAGCAAGCGAATGAGAGTTCCAATAGAACGCATAACTTACCAAAGTTTACAACGTAAACATGCCTAGCCGATAGGGACGAGAGCTTATTGAGCAACACTTTGGAAGTCATATTTTAAAATGACAAAGTGTCTTAGATTGCAGAAATGTAGTCGGATTAAACCGAGAATAAACTTGATTCGAAAAAGTACCGCAATGTAATGCGTTTGTTATGATTATCAATCAGCTGCTGCAGTGCGGCTGTTCATCCAGCTGTCATCGCCTAGCGTGGACTCATACGTGGTCGAAAAGACTTCCGTTAAGTTAGCCACCAAAAATCGAGCCACCAAAAAAAAAATGGTGGTTGGTGACGCGCCACCTACATTTCAAAGTAGAAAACAACATTAAAAATTGGTGGCTAACTTATTGCACGGTGGGCCCGTCAGATTATGTAAAAAAAAAACATTTTGAAAGGAGGTGAGATGCGACCCCATTATGATATGATTTACAGTATCCCCTCGCTAATTAAACCGATGAATCGATAATCCGACAACACGATCTCTTATGACACATTCTACGTGACGATACAATACGGTACGATACGTTAACGGTTTTCTTTCGACCTGTATTTTAATCAATTGATTCAATTGAAAATTAACCCCCAATTATGATTGCATATTTGGAAAGTGCGAATTTCTTATAAGAATTGATCAAGAAAATCTTATTTGAGTAGCTCATAACGTTTTGGTAAGGAGTTGTTGAGTAGATGTAGTTGAGTAGTGCAAAACGTTCTAACGTCACGTAAGGGTCAGTTCAAACTTTACGTAACGCAAGAGGGGGTGGGGGTAGTTTGGCAACGCGTTACCCGCCATGTATTAGGTATAGGAAGTAGCATTATGAGGAGGTGAGGGTTATGCCTTGTTCAGACTACAGAGCTATAACATGTTATAGCGCTGTCTTGATGGTGGTTTCTGTGTTCCAATTATTTGACAACCGTTATAACATGTTATAATTCTCCAGTCTGAACAGCGTTTTACTCAAAAACACGATTTTTTGTGTTAGGTAATATTTGAACAAGCCCTAATATACCCACTCACAAAATCATTTTTAACAACTTCACCAGTGACAAAAGTCACTTCGACTATCGGAATAACCCCCTCTATGTTCACGCATAACGCAGAAAAAATTATCGTTGGAACGAAAATATTTGAGGTAAATTTAAACGTAAACTCAGTTTGTTCTGGCCACAAAAATAAGCAAGGTTTATTTCAAACGTATTCCATGTTTGAAGGCATGTGATAATAATGTTTAAAATAAAAATAATTTTACTTTTATTTTAAAAAATATTCGTGTTGAAAATAAACGTGAATATTTTTGTTTGGTTTGACAACTATGCGAACAAAAATAAATATGCGACTTAATATGTTTATTTTAAACAGCTTCTCATATTTGAAAGAAACATACTTCATTTTAAATTATACCTATTAGTATTTGAATCCAAGATAAAGCAAAAAATGGATTGCAAAGAGATAAAAAAAAAACGATCTGCAGACAGGGCATCTAAACTCCTGCTCTTTTTCGGGTGCGATTAAAGGTGGGCTGTGGATATTGGGATCCTGGTCCGAGATGCGGGGACCCGTCGGGGTGAGTGTCCGAAGGTTCCAGTTCAGTAAAATCAGCAAAACTTTGTGATATTAGCGTCGTTTTGTCGTTTCTAACGCTAGTCCTCATACCGGCCCTTTCTACTTTTGGTGTTGGAGGAGGGGGTGGGCTGGAGGATCCGGAATAGATTAAAAATCCATTTCGGATTTTCGTTTTTCTTCCAACGTCAGTTGTGGAGGAGGATGATACAGAGATCGGCATCAGAAACGACAGAGTGACGTCGACGCGATACTGTGGGGTTCCTCCGGTTTTATCGAGCTGGCACATTGTTAAGACACTTACATAGGTGGGTTTCCGAATCCATGACGGTTTTGTCGCTTGCGGGCCGCTTTCGGTTGAATGGCAGAGCTGCTGCAATTTTTTTTCGAATGTAAACAAGGAAAAAAAAAAACGTAGGACACGTTAAAAATCGTTTGCCCAAATTCTATATTGTTGAAATAAACAAGTTTTGACTTTAATTCAAATATCTATATTTTTGTTGAAAACATGTTTTCAATTTATTTTGAAGTATTATTCATATTTCTATAGAATAAACCTTTATATTTTTTATTTATATGAACGAAATTCGGTTCCGTGATGCACTCAGGCAAATAAACTTGCACTTGCACAGATTATTTTACTGGGTCAGTAATTTTTTACTGGGTTTTCAAACAGCTGAAAATAACGGTCACACGTAATGAAACTAAAATTTTTAACATATTTTATTTTTATCATCAAATAAATGTAATAAGAACGCAGTTTGTGCAAATTTCAAGAAAAAAATCTGTTCTATACAATTTTTCACAATTTTTTTTTAAATTTACTGACTTTTTAGCTGTAAAAACCTAGTAAAAAATTACCAAACAGGGAGGCCGTGATTTTGTGTGTGCACCCCAGCATGAGTGCAATGTTTACATTCGAACATCGCTTGCTTCAGCGTTTGAAAAACATCGTTCCTACTCAAGCGCAGTAACCCGCCGTTAGTTTTTAAACTCAGCTTTGCTTTCCGTTGTTATCGTGTCAGTGGCAAACGCGATACATTTTCAGCGTGGTGGTAAGGTAAGTACCCCGGCTGTTATTGTGAAGCTGTCATGTGTGGCTCCTCGTTAATTTTGAGCATACAATTTAGCATAAAGCTAAGGATAAAATGTTATCTTCACCAATTATTTATCCTTTACGTGCCTTTACTGTGATCGGTGTGTCGCATCAAGCCAATAGCAAATGGTAATGGCGAGGAGTAGATTTTCAATGCATAATTGCTAGTTTAAATTAAAGTAACAACCCTGTAAATGTTGCTTCTCTTTTGAAAGCATTGGTTTGTTTTTTTGACAGTGAATATATTCAGAGGAAAATTGATCAGCATCAAAACAACAGCAAAGAGTCATGGAAAATTTTGAAATCTTTGATGAAGCCTAGTAATTGTAAATCGCGGTCCATAACTTTTGATGGCATATTAGAACAGTCAGAACCAGTAATTGCTTCTAAGTTTAATGACTATTTCGTGGAGAGCGTTTCACTGATTAATCAATCTATTGAACTAGTCAATGAACCGGACGAAATAAAACAGCCGATTAATAGTAACTGTAGATTTGATGGTTTTCATCCAATTACATTAGATGAACTTAAAAATATTTGCTTTTCATTAGGAAAAACGGCTGGAGTAGATAATGTTAATGCTAGAGTTATTCAAGATTGCTTTCATGTCATTCAACACACTCTGCTGAACCTTATTAATCAATCATTGCAATCTGGGCACGTGCCGCGTATTTGGAAAGAATCTTTAGTTGTTCCTATACAAAAAGTTGCTGGGACGATTAAAGCTGAAGAGTTTCGTCCCATCAACATGTTGCACTCATTAGAGAAAATTTTAGAACTTGTTGTAAAAGGCCAGCTGTTAGAATATTTAAAAAGTAACTGTTTGTTGATACCGGAACAATCGGGATACCGGGAAGATCATTCTTGTGAAACCGCGTTAAACTTAGTGTTAGCTAAATGGAAAGAAAAATTGGAGCATAAAGATACGATTGTTGCTGTGTTTTTGGATCTAAAACGCGCTTTTGAGACAATTTCTAGGCCCTTATTGTTGAGAACAATCAAGCGCTTTGGAATTTCGGGTTCTGCATACAAATGGTTTAAAAGCTATTTTTCTGACAGAACACAAAGGACTGTTTTTAATGATTTTGTATCTAGTAAAAATAGTGACTTTAGTGACCAGGTGGACGAAAAAAGTGACCAAATGTTAACTACCATTGACCTACCTAGCAGGCTACGTATATCTTTTTAAGCATCAAGAAACTGAAGCCTTGACAATGTGTTGCAGAATATTCTGATTTCACGCTGATCGAGAATGCTGCATTTAGTCAACAGGAACTCCATCAATTATCAGGAGCGCAAAAATTTGCGAGCAAATGCAGCAAGTAAAGTTTGTCGATCTACGGGGCGCTGAATGATAATGATCGTGATTCGTTTCATGCTGGAAGTTTTTAGCCCTTTTTATTTTTGAATCAATTACCAGGATATTTATTTTTAAAAAGTGATGAAATTATGAAATCACATTGAACATAAAGTATTGTTTGTTTTGATTATACATAGGAAAATACAGAAAACTAAACCCATTAATTTAAATCATTCTGGTTATGTAGCTTCAACTGTATCCAGCTAACTAGCCTTTATGATTTATTCTCTACTGTAATAAATATGTTCTGCTGGGAAGCTAAGAGATCTAGGTCTGAGCAATACAACCATATTCTCGTTTAAATACTCTTCGAACAAAAACGAGAATATGGGTGATAGTATGGTCGCATGGTTTCGTCACATCTAATTATGCTCTTATTAAGCGTTGTCATCGTCACACACCCAAAAACTTAGCGGACGAAAAGAACAACACAAAATTCACTATGAGATTGGGTATATAATGATAGAATATCGAACGAATCGAATGAGCAACAGCAAAAGGTTCCTAGATATTTCTTAAGTATTTTTAGGTATCTTATGTCGTTTTCGTTTTTGAACCTGGGTTAGTGTTAACCTGACTCTGCAATAAAAAAACGTTTTCAGTTTGAAGAGTGTTTCGTATGTTGGTGTGTGTGACATCGCGTGAAGTTAGCTGTCAAACACTTTTTTGCTTGTTGTTTGCAGTCGAGGGGCGATTCACTTGTGTATTTTCGATTCAGGTCAACGTATTGATGAACGTATTGAAGTATTTTTTATCGAATAAACGTGTATTTTGCGTATTTATGTATTATTTTGCACTTTTTGAATATATGTAATTTTCTGTGTATTAGAAAAATAAAAGTGTATTTTTATGCATTAATGTATTGAAAATCAGTTATAAGTGTATTCTGTCAATTCAGTGTTTATGTTTACCACTCGAACCGATAATCAAACGGATCAAACTCACAATGTTGACGTTTTGTTTGACAAAGGCACAGCACACGCTAACTTTGAAATACCCACTGATGAGTAGAATTTCACCCAATTTAAAGAAAAGAGGCTTAACTCATAAACTCATTAGAGGCTTGACATTAGTTGCGTAGACAGATTTTTGGGATTCTTGAGCCACCCCACCCACCTATGTTGACAATTGTCCATACAAAACTTTAAAAATGTGTATGGGCCGTGGA